TTGGGGACAGCTCCGCCCACCCTGGGTGCCCGGACGCCGAAGCGCAGGGGCCCAGGCTTTCTGCCCCAGGGGCCGCTACTGAGCTTGGTTCTTCCTACGGGGATGGGTAGGGGTGTCCGGGGGCCACCGAGCCCAGCACACGGAACAGGATAAGAGGGCACTACAAAACGGTGCACATTCCGCCTCTTGGAAACGGGTTCAAAGTCATTCACTAACTCTTCTTGGCTACAAATTCAAATGCTCTTTTGGAAGGTTAAACCTGCCAGTCTTCAGCACTGCCAGACACCTTGCCAGGATCAACCCCTTTAGGAGTTCAGACTAGATCGAGGGAGAGAGGGCAAATAAGTGGTTTGGGTACAAGATAAAAACGACATAGGTCCTGGGGGAGAGAGTGGGGAGACCAGTCCGCAGAACTGGGGGCTCAGTGACCCTGGGGAGCTGAAGAGATAGGCCAGAAGGGAGAGAAACTGCCTCCCCCCATCCCCACCCCCATCGGCCCTGGATGGAGAGCCGCTTCCTGTCCCTGAATATCACCTGTGGGTGCCCTGCCAGTAACACCAGACCCCACCTGGAGTCTCTTAGGATTGGTCCTGCCAGGTAGCTCTATCAGTCCCTCGTAGAAAGTGTGAGAAGCTATCAGTCTCAGCCCAAGCATCACCTTTAGAGGGCTCTGATTTCAACCTGTCAGTGGAGATAAGGTTGATCCGATGTAGGGGAAGCAAGCCTGTTTTGAAGGAAGTTCAAGCTTTTGAGTTGCCACATGTTAAAGGAGGCTTGGGTTTTATGGTTAACAATGATCGATGTGTTGAAGGGGAGCAACGCTAACAAGGGCCTTGTGGGACTCTGCTTTGGCCCCCAGGAGGCCCGAGCTGTACCCTCTTGGAATCGACCCCCTAGTTCTGGCACATACACCAACCCTTGAGTTCTCAGGGGAAGCCCGAAGCTGAGCCCCACCATGCCCAGAATCTGAGCTGGGGCCTCTGCCACCACCGAACTCCCAGCCTTGTTTACCCACCTGCCTCAGAAAGGGAGAGGGTTGTACACAGAGACACCCTGGTACACCCCTGGACCTGATTCCCAACCACGCAGACCACTGGTCTCACTGCTGACCATCTCCAGCCCTCTCCGCTACAAGCAAACCGGTGGAGTAGTCATTTACCGAGAGCGCTCAGCACATGCCCACCCAGATTGGGCCTCAGGGAAGATCGGAGGAGCATCCAATTCCTGCCCCTGCCCTGCCCCTCCCAGCAGACACTCAGGTGTGCACAAGGTATAGCCAGAGGCAACTTCTGATTCTGCCTGGGCCTGAAACAGGCAGCCAGATTCTGGTAGTAGAGCCACCTGGGCCAAGGCCCAGGAGCAGGCACGGTCCCACAGCGCTGTCCTTCCCCCATGCTGTGTTCTGGGCTAGGGCAAGGAACAGGGGCAGCTGCAGCCCCCGTAAGAGCTCTCAGTCTCCCTGGGAGCCAGAAGCAGGATAGGCCTCAAAAAACACATCTGGTCGGAGACAGGCAGCAAGGCCACCGGCCCCATCTGTCTCGTTCACAGTAGCTTCTCCAGGACTTACTGCCTAGTAGGGACTCAGAGCATCCTTACTGAATGAATGCATGGCTTCTCTAAAAGAAACAACTCTCTCTACATGCAACAGTTTTCCCTGACGGAGCTGAGTGGCCTAAATGCACTTGGGCTGAAAATCTCCTGGGGCCATGAGAATCCACACTGAAATGGATAGGATAGGATAGGATAGGATAGGGGCCGTGGGGTGCTTCCCCTTTTAATGTAGACATTTTATTGTGTTGTCATTTGGAGAGCTGACACCGATTGCTTTTGTCATCAGAAGATACCGTAAATATACCTTTCAAACACACCCATAGACACATGCTGTATCCCAAAACCCCGAATGGCTTCGTGGGCAGCCTGTCCTAGATGCATGCCCTAAAACGCAGTCTGGGCTGTAAGCTTGCGTGGCAGTATGCGGGACATCTTGACCCCCGCGCTACTTCAGGGTCTTCCCTGAATAGGATGGGGTACCTCTTTGCTGAAGGTGGTTCTTTGTTTATGGCTGGAGGCTAGAGATGACTGCAGAGAATTGATTGTTATTGGATAAACAAGAGTGGTGTGGCCCTCTGGGGGAAACGTGGTGACTCTGAAGCCAGCAAACAATAGACCAGTGCAGAACCGTGGCCCTCGGGGACCACGAAGTGGAAGCAGAGAGAATCAGTCATTCCCCTGAGCGGCTGTGTGGGCCTTGGCTGAAAGCAGAGCCTGATATGGGGGCTGGAACTTGGGGCTGTGTGCGTGCAGGTGGCTTAAATGGGAAAGTCATTCTGAGGGAGGGCAGTCGGGAAGAGTGAACAGAGGAGGCAGGAAAGGCAGTCATTGCTAGGGCATATGATAGAGGTGGTCACATGGTGGGCCTTGGGGCTCAGTCCCACGGAGGCCTTCTGAGCCCTGCAGAAAGCCCCAGACTCCCTGGAGGGGGTCTCAGTGAGGGGAGTATTTGTCCATGGATCCCTCTGTAGGCCTTCATTTTCTAGTATTATCTCAACCCCCTACCTGAACCTCATTTAGTGCAGGCACCAGCATGTCCGAGCTGTGGGCTCCTGGGCAGGAAGCAGGAGGCCAGGGGCTTTCAGGATACACTTGGTGCAAGGACCAGGGTGGAAAGATGGGTGAGGGCATGTAACCCAGCACATGCAAGAGTCCCCCACAGGGCCCTGGGCCCTTATCACTTTCAGCAGCTCACAAGTTTGGGCTCTGTCACCCCGAAGAGCAGGGATAGTGGTTGTTCCGGGGTGGAGGTCTTTGCCTTTCACCATGGTGAGGCCATAGGAGATGACCTGAGTTGGATTCCCGGCCAGTGCACCATCCTTTTGTCGGTGGAGACTTGTGCATTGCTGTGGTGCTAAACGGGTTTCAGCAGAACTTCCAGGCTAGGAAGAAAGGCCTGGTGATCTACTTCTGAAAATTGACCAACGAACAGCCTGAGGACCAGGCAGCGTTTGAGCCTGTTGTGCATGGGATTGCCATGCTTCCTGGCCAATTCACTGCCAGCTGGTGGCACTGCCAGCTGGAAAAGAGGGCCTGTGTTCCAACAGAGCGAGCTGGCTCACCAGAGTACTGGCTGGTCCATGGTCTCAATGCTGGATGGAGAGCTTGAGCAAGCTACTTCACCTCGCACTGCAGTGTCCTGGTGCGCGGGCCAGCACGAACCTTGGGATCGCTGTGAGGAAGAAACAGATTCTTAGGAACCAAAATGGGTGACAGACACCCACAGCACAAGAGGAATGTGAGTGGCTGCCCATCTGGTGACAAGAGCAAGGAGCGGCTCTGGCTGCTACCTCCCTGCGTGCTCGGGTACC